GCCGCGGCTCACTAGGCTAATCCTCCGCCTTGAGGTGCCAGCACGCCGGGTTCTAGTCCCGGTTGGGGCGCCGGATTCTGTCCCGGTTGCCCTCCTCCAGGCCAGCTCTCTGCTGTGGCCAGGGAGTGCAGTGGAGGATGGCCCAAGTGCTTGGGCCCTGCACCCATGGGAGACCAGGAAAAGCACCTGGCTCCTGCCATCAGATCAGCGCAGTGCGCTGGCTGCAGCTTGCCGGCCGTGGCGGCCATTGGCGGGTGAACCAATGGCAAAGGAAGACCTTTCTCTCTCTCTCTCTCTCTCACTGTCCACTCTGCCTGTCAAAAAAAAAAAAAAAAAGAACGTGGTCTATCCAGAGCCATACCATGCAGTAGTACCCAGCCTTACAAAGGAAGGGGGTTCTAGCAGAGGCTACAAAGCAGGAAAACGTGGGGGGCCGGATGCTAAGTGAAATAAGCCAGAGACAAAAAGGCTGATTCCAAGATTCTGCTTCTCTGAGGCAGCTCAGGTCATCAGCTGCATAGAACCGATAGGGGCTGGGGGCTGCCAGGTTTGCGGGGAGCAGTCTCCTGGGCAGAAAGCTCGAGGGGCGCCAGAGGAGAAGTTATGCAGGACAGGGTGCCTTGCACACCAGCATGAGCAGGGCTCGTGGGACTGCACGCACACCTAACTGTTAAGAAGCAAATTTCTGCTGCTCTTCTTTCACCACAGTAAAGAGAAAAGTTTTTTAATGGGCCTGCGAGATGTGGGAAGACATTATAGATTTCAACTTGGACTCACATGACTCAGCTTCCCCTCTTAATAGCTGTGCAGCTCTTCGTAAAACTGCTTCTCCTTTTTGGGAGTGCTGACGGTGACACAGCTTCTTCCTAGGGCTTTTGGGTTTTTGTTTGTTTGTTTTTTAGATTTATTTATTTGAAAGGCAAAGTTACAGAGAGAGAGGGAGAGAGAGACACACACACACACAGAGAAGGAGTGATTTTCCATCCACTGGTTCACTCTCCAAGTGGCTGCAATGACCAGGGCTAGGCTAATCCGAAGCCAGGAGCTTCTTCCCAGTCTCCTAGGGGGTGCAGGGGCCCAAGGACTTGAGCCATCCTCCACTGCCCTCCCAGGCACATTAGCAGGGAGCTGGATTGAAAGTGGAGCAGCCAGGACTCAAACCGGTGCCCAAATAGGATGCCGGCAGTGCAGACACAGCCCTTTTCTAGAGCTTTTGTGAGCATCAAGCAAAATGAAGAAATTAAAGTCTTCAGGGAGGATGGTGGTTAAGAGCACAGCTTCTGGAATCAGATAAACATGGATTCCGATCCTGCGTCTCAGAGTGGGCGTTTGGTACAGCGGCTTGTCACTGCTTAGGATGCCCCCCGCTCGCGTCAACAGTCGCAAGGACTCTAAATGCATAGCTGCAATAGGAGGACTCCTATGTCAAAGTCAAGGTTCTGAGGCCAGCAGTGTGGCTTAGCAGGCAAAGCACCGCCTGCAGTGCCAGCATCCTATACGGGCGCCAGCTGGAGTCCCAGCTGCTCCACTTCCGATCCAGCTCTCTGCTATGGCCTGGGAAAGCAGCAGAAGATCAACCAAGTGCTTGAGCCCCTGCACCCAGGTGGGAAACCCAGAAGAAGAAGCTCCTGGTTCCTGGCTTCGGATCGATTCAGCTCCTGCCACTGCAGCCATCTAGGAAGTGAACCAGTGGATGGAAGGTCTCTCTCTCTTTGCCTCTGTCTCTCTGTAACTCTGCCTTTCAAATAAATAAATCTTAAAAAAATATTAAGTGGGAAAGGTCTGATGTACAGTGAGAGCTCAGACCGCTGGTCACCACCGGCAGTGTCAGAGAAGCCACCGGGTTCCCACAACTCCTCCCTCCTGTGCTGGGAACTCCCGGCGGCAGGCTCTGGCAGGTCGCCAGGGCCTGCTACACTGCAAGTGCTCAGGCACTGTTTACTAAATAGATCTATTAATCTCTCCAGTTCCAGTTTCCTCATCTAGAAAATGGGATTATGGGGACCAGCACAGTGGCACAGTGGGAAGGACTACTGCCTGCAGCACCAGCATCCCATATGGGCACCAGTTCGAGGCCCGGCTGCTCCACTTCTGATCCAACTCTCTACTATGGCCTGGGAAAGCAGTAGAAGATGGCCCAAGTGCTTGGGCCCCTGCACCCACGTGGCAGACCCAGAAGAAGCTCCTGGTTCCTGGCTTCAGCATGGCCCAGCCCCAGTCATTGCGGCCATTTGGAGAGTTAAGCAGTAGATGGAAGATCTCTCTTTCTCCTTTTCTATCTGTTACTCTGCCTTTCAAACAAATCAATTAAATCTTTTAAAAAAACAAAGAAAGAAAATGGGAATCATACCAGTGCTGACCTCACAGGAAAGCTCTGAAGTTAAAAAGAGACAAACGTCTCAAGTGCATGGCACATAGTAGGTGCTCAATAAATCAGTTATCCCTGTTCTAACTTTCCCCTGCTCCTGTACGTCGGTGCTCTGGCCTGGCCCTGCTGCCCATCCTCTAAGGAGTCCCCTCAAGGAGTGCTTTCCTCCTCGTTTCCCAAGATTTACAAGGATCTGAGGGGCAGGTAAAGGAAACAGGTACCCAGGCTCCGGAGAGTTCTGTCCAACGCTCCCTACAGGCCCCTGAATGTGAGTCACGCACGGTGCTGGGCTCATTTATTGGTTGGTGAATGGAGCTCTTGGTCCGGGGAAGAGGCCAGGGACAGAGTCTAGGCCCCAGCATTGGGGCCACCAGAGTACCAGTCGGAGTTACCCAATTTCCCTTTTCACTGAGGACCCTACTCTGACCCCAGCAGTGACACTCAGGCTCCATCTGCTCAGCTGGCCTAGGAAATGCCGTGGAGTTGCGGGACCCAAGCCTGACCCAGGGCTCTCCCCCTGGCTCCCCAGTGCCCAGGCAGCGCCCGTCTGTGAGCCGCCCTCTGCCTCCTGGCTTCCCGGCAGGGAGGAGAGTGAGGAAGCTCCTCTCTGAGCTTCCCCAGCTGTAGGCACCTGCCTGTTCCACCAGGAAGCTCACCGACATCTTCCGGACCTGAGAGCCCCAAGAACACAGAGTACAGGCACAGGACTGGGTCAGCACCTGGCTCCGCTGTCTCTGAGCCGCGTGACCTCGGCGCAGCCTCCCTTCCTCCACCTGCTGATGGGCCTTCACAAAACTCTCCTCGCCGGGTAGGGGTGAGAGCAGGATGAAGCCAGTGCAGCCAAGAGCCGTGCCTCGGACAACATCCGCTACCAGGCAAGCCAATCTCCACACCGCAAGCCAGCCACGTCTCTCTTGGAAGCAGCCAGCCAGGGTGGCTGGAGAGAGAAGCCCAGGAATTGGAGCCAGGGGTCAAGGCTCTGGCCTAGCTGTGCCACCCACCTTCAGTTCCAAGCCCGGGGAATTTGTATCTGCAAAACAGGGTACGCCCTTCCTTGTAGCGTTGGTGTCAGGAGAAAGTGAGATGGCTGGGGGTGCAGGTTTGGGTAAACGGTAAAGCACTTGGCATAACGAAATGGGCTTTTATCAGCTAAACCAAGCTGTGAGCCTGGTAGCTCTTCTCCCACAGCCAGCCAGCGTGCTCAGCTGCAACCGGGGCCCTGAGGGGCCCCCTCCTGCAGAACCCAGGGACTGGGTGGGGCTGCGGAGGGGGCTCCTCTGCTCTGTCTCTCACACACAGTCTAGCTCTGCTCTCCTTGTGGCCAAGGACACACAGGCACCCATGAAGCTCTCCGCCGGTCCTGTGATCCTGTTTCCAGAACTGTTGGGCTATGCCAGTTCCCAGACCTGCCCTAGGCACATGTGGGCAGTCACTGCCCCTTCTCCCACCCCCTACCCCAGGCCCAACCACAGACACACAGATACCCAGGACACCCCCAGAGACATCCCCCTCACTCGCCATGCCGAGACAGGATCCTAGCCTCTTACCACACACACACTCACACACACACACACACACACACACCAAACTCTGTGCCAAGGGTAAGGGCAAAACAATGCACAAACCAGACACCACCTCCTGCAGTACCCACGGCACAGATTACCGCATCAGTGCTCGTGGAGAGCCCTGGCCACGTCTGCACGGCCCTGGTCAGCTGATGGACATGTTCCCACCCAGCCTCTCACTTCGTCCTCCCCACAAACCACAAGGCCAGCATTTTGGTGGCCAGTCTGCAGAAGCAGAGTGAGGCCCCGAATCGCCCCAGGTCCCAGCCTGTAAGCGAGAGCTGCACCTGAACCTGAACCTGAACCTGGAGCTGAGCTGACTTCCGCCCCCGGTTGGCCGCTCAGTGCCTAAAGGCAAGCAAGTCTCTTTCTTTGGTCTCCCTCGTGCTCGCTCCTACGCACACCTGCTCAGAATACCCTGAAAGAATTGAAAGAATGCAGCTTGGGTGTCAGGCAGAGCTGCTGGCTGTCTGGAGAGAAAGCCTTCCAGCCCCTCTTCCTCACATTGCTGAGCCCCAGCAAAGGAAGGGCGTGCAGCTGTGGCCCTGGCCTCAGGCCCTGGGACCTGGTGGTGGACACTGGCTGCAGACCTGGTTACATGGACTGATAATCTGCTTATCTTCACTATCCCCAGGGTTAACCTAGCATTTAGTGAGCTGCTAAGTCCCCTGTCCCATCTTGGACCCTTTCCCTCTCCTGACAGTCCTGGCAGGGAGATGGCATTGTCCCCATTTCACAAGTTAGGGACCTGCACAGAGAGGGGTATAACTCAACCACGATTACACAGCCCGTAAAACAGATGGCATTCAGCTCCTGGGGTCCACCTCCCCCCACCTCCTATCACCATCATCCCCTCCCATGTAAGCCTCTGAGGACATCTTGGCCCTGACTTGGCCTCAGAGAACCGGAGAGAGGGTGCTAGGTCCCCTGAGGAAGTCCGACCACAAGCAATTCTCTCCTACCTTGAGACTCTGGCTCTGAGAAAAGTGCCCCCCAACAGGACCCCGCCCCCTCCCTTTAGGTGCCCAGCTGGAGCTGGGAACCCGCCCCACTCCCACCCCCGTTACCTGTGGTGGTGCTAGGGGCTGCCACTGCACAGCCCGCGCACCTCCGTGCGGGTCCCGGGCCCCGGCCAGCCTCGGCGCTGTCTGGCAATTGCAGAAGTGAGGAAACAACCTCTCACTGCCAAGTCACCCCCGAGAGGAAATGCAGTGACCCTAGGGCCTCTCCAGCGGATGCCACAGGAGGCTCCAAGCTGCACCGCCCAAGCCCCGGGGCCCTGCACGGAAGCCTCTGTCACAGCCCTGCAGGGCGGGGTGCCAGGGAGCCCGGGCAGGAGAGAGAAAGCAAGAAGGGGCTCTCGGGAGAGAGGAAGAGGAGCAAGCAGGACTGAGTGACCAAGAAAATGCAGAGGGAGCCAGGGGACAAAAGGAGAGGGCAGGGGAAGAGAAGGAGGGAGAAAGACACACGCATGGAGAGACAGACAGACAGACACATACACATGGGAGGGCCCAAGACTGAGGGAGTCCAAAGAGCAAGAGGTGGACAGCGAGTCTGTGCCTGCCCTGCGCTCTGGGGCTGAGAGAGCAGAGCGAGGGAAGCGGGGAGGGGTGGGGAGGTCCCTGGAATTAAAAGGGAGAGAAGCAGCACGCGGCTGGGAAGAGCTACTGCAGTCGGGGTGGTCAGGGGATGCATGGGAGTCAGGACAAAGTCCCCTGGGAGCGCAGGCGGGCACGGGAGCCGGGGAGGCTGGGCAGCGTGGGCAGTTCACACGGGTGGACCCGCGAGTGCGAGTGCGTGTGAGACAGAAA